TTTTTTTTTTTTTTTTTAACATTTTCTCAAATGGCTTATACTACTTGAGCTTAATTTTTAACCTAATTTGTTGATGCAATTATTTTATACCATTAGGTTGACTTTGGATTCTAATATTAGTTAGGTTTAACGAATTACATGAGTTAATTAGGCCAACAAATATAACTCAAATCGAACATTTTGCAGTTGAGAGAACTCTTATGGATGTGCTCACGCTTGGGGGGGGGTTACGACCTACCGGTCACCCCCACCCACTTTTACCTGACCAAAAAAAAAAAAATTAGGACAACAAATTGTGCCTAAATATTATGATTATTTCCACAATGATACAGATTTTAAAACAGGCAATGATCAAAAAAACAAACTTGTTGGACAGCTTCACAAGAACAAATAAAAACCCAGCAGATCTTCAGTAAACTGCCATAAATCCATTATTTCGAATTATTGTACCATATTTTTAGCTGTCTTACAGAGGTACATAAAGGAATTCAGTTGGAAGGATCCTACCAAACATCAACTATGCATAATTGAAGCACCCCTTAACTTAATCATCTACTTAGTTTATTGAGTAAATAATGAGTTTAACGGTGATACCACATCATTATTGTTATGTGGTATCCCCGTTACATCTAATATTTTTTCCATTTTATGAATGCAGTACAGATGCAACAAATTTAAGGGTACAGACATTTGTGGGAGTGAGATCTTGTATAATATATTTTTTCTTTATTTATTTAATTTTTTTTGTGTGTATCATCTATTAAGAAATCAAATAATACGCATGAGATATAAATATACCCCTCATCCATTTCTGATAGATGAGCTATTATAAAGAATAAAAATAAAAAATATATTAGAAAAGTTTTGGATCTGTATTTGTTACCTTTCTATCAGTGATGAGTATTACTGCTGTGAGACAAAACCCAAGCGAATCAACAAAAAGATTTGTATCCTGTGACTTTCTGTGGATCTGATTTTCTGAATTAAAAACATAGTTTATGAACTTGCAGATCTATAACTAAGTATTGCTTAGCCGTCCAAAAGTACTAAATATGGAAATATATAATGCAATCAGCTACATAAATCCCTGTTATTCACATGGTGATACCATTGGAAAAGATTACAAAACACCCACACTATCCATAATTGAACAACCCTTTTAAAGTCAATAGTTTCTGCAACTTCCCACTCCTCTTGTATGTCTCCTAACAAAGATGCTATTCCCTCTCAATGTACGATTAATTAATTATATACACTGAAATAGTTTGTTTTTGCTAACGTTAGCACAGGGAGAGGTCAGAGGATTAAACCATTTTATTTAAGTACGCCATANAACAAAGATGCTATTCCCTCTCAATGTACGATTAATTAATTATATACACTGAAATAGTTTGTTTTTGCCAACGTTAGCACAGGGAGAGGTCAGAGGATTAAACCATTTTATTTAAGTACGCCATATTTATTTTATAACTACAAGGGCTGAACAAAGCACATTGGTGGAGATGTTTGGCTTTGGGTGAGCTGTTTCTCTCTGCACTTCTCTCAATACTTGTACAAACTTCCACAACTATATATTATAAATCTTGGTTATTATTGTTCAAACCCATCTCTCTCTCTCTCTCTATAGTTTAGGAAACAGATATGTGGGATCACTTTGAGACATCATGACCTTCCAAAGCTTTGGACTCCATTTATGGTGGAGAATTCTTGGATTTGTTCTACTTCTATACCCATGTGTTGGGCTCAACACAGATGGAATTCTCTTGCTCTCTTTCAAGTTGAATGTTTTAAGTGATCCTCTAGGTGTGTTAGACAGTTGGAGCTACTATGATGAAACACCATGTTCATGGAATGGAGTCACATGTGGAGCTCCGGGAATGTCCACTACAAACGCTCGTGTCACCGGCTTATCTCTGCCGGACTGTCAGCTTCACGGCTCCATTCCGGCCGGTTTTGGTACGATTCAACACCTACAAAACCTCGATCTTTCGAATAATTCAATCAATGGATCTATTCCTTTGTCAATTTTCAATGCTTCTGAGCTTCGAATGCTTGATTTTTCCAACAATTTGATCTCCGGAGAGCTGCCGGAGATTATAGGAGGACTTAAAAATCTTGAGCTTCTCAACCTTTCCAACAACGCTTTGGCCGGGACAATTCCGGAAGATCTAACCACTCTTCATAATCTTACTGTCCTTTCTTTGAGAAACAATTACTTCTTTGGTAATCTTCCTAGTGGGTTTGATTCAGTTGAAGTTCTAGATCTGTCTTCCAATCTGATCAACGGATCACTGCCTCCAAATTTCAGAGGCAACAATCTTCATTACCTGAACCTATCGTATAACAGGCTCTCCGGCCAAATTCAACCGGAATTCGCCAACACAATCCCTATAAAGGCCACCATTGATCTTTCCTTCAACAATTTCACCGGCGAAATCCCAGAATCTCCTCTTTTCCAAAATCAAAACACCAAATCGTTTTCTGGGAACCCTGAACTTTGTGGTAGCCCACTAAGAAATGTATGCCCAATTGCTTCCACCATTTCAACCCCTCCCTACTCCACCGCACCGACCTCACCGCCGGCAATTGCAGCGATTCCCAAAACCATAGAATCGAACCCAACAACGAATTCAACTACCACTTCAAATGGGTCTCAACAAGGAGGCCGAAATGGTCTTCGAACAGCCACAATCGTAGGAATCATAGTCGGCGACGCAGCAGGAATTGTAATTCTTGGGTGCATATTCTTGTACGTGTACCAGTTAAAGAAAAAGAAGAAGAGCGTTGCAGATACAATAAAGAAGGAAGCTAGTGAAGCTAAAGACTTCGACTGGGCATCTTCTTCAAGTTCTGAAGAACACAATAATTGGCTACGTTCATGGACGTGTCTGAGAAAGCAAAGACATGAAAATGAAGATTCTTCAGAAACTACAAACTCAGAAAACGAAGAAAATGAAGGTGTTCAAAAGGGTCATGAATATCAAATGCAGCAAGAACAGAAAACAGGAGCACTGGTGACTGTTGATGGTGAGAAAGAGCTTGAACTTGAGACTTTGTTGAAGGCTTCGGCGTATATACTGGGGGCTACTGGGTCGAGTATAATGTACAAAGCTGTGCTTGAAGATGGGACAACACTAGCGGTTCGGAGGATCGGAGAGAGTGGTGTGGAGAGGTTCAGGGATTTTCAGAACCGGGTTCGAGTGGTTGCGAAGCTGGTGCATCCAAATTTGGTGAGGATTCGTGGGTTCTATTGGGGTGCTGATGAGAAGCTTGTGATCTATGATTTCGTTCCCAATGGCAGCCTCGCCAAAGCTCGTTACAGTGAGTTCCTCTCTCTCTCTCTCTCTCTCTCTCTCTCTCTCTCTCTCTCTCTGCATTCTAAGTGCGCAAGTTAGTGAACCACACTACTGGCCATTATTAAAATATGCTTGTCAAGGGATTAGTGCAGTAACGTTACTGCCACTTAATTTATTAACTTAATTTATTGATTTAATTCATTATAATCTTTGAATTAATTGTAGGTTCCATTAAATATTATAACTTAGTATTTATCCATTGATTCCAATAAAACTACGTCATTAAGTCNCAGTAGCGTTACTGCCACTTAATTTATTGACTTAATTTGTTGATCTAATTCACTATAATCTTTGAATTAATTGTAGGTTCCATTAAATATTATAACTTAGTATTTATCCATTGATTCCAATAAAACTACGTCATTAAGTCAACAAATTATATCAAATTTTTAAATTCAAAAAACATTTTCCTCGGTACAAATAGGAATGTAAATTGTCCATATTGAAGGGGATACGCTTGTCATAGGATTATTTTTTCGTGTCGAAGGGGATTTAATAAACACCAAAACNACATTTTTCTCGATACAAATAGGAATGTAAATTGTCCATATTGAAGGGGATACGCTTGTCATAGGATTATTTTTTCGTGTCGAAGGGGATTTAATAAACACCAAAACTAATAAATTTAGATTTCATAAATTTGAATTTTAGTAAATTTTTGAGATCAGTTCGTGAGAGATTTATCATTTATGAATAAGAATGGTAGTGGATTGAAGTGGGGGTGGGGGTGTAGTCTCTATTCTTGTACCCGCTTAAAAAAATTTCGTTCATCCNATATTTTCCTCGGTACAAATAGGAATGTAAATTATCCATATTGAAGGGGATACGCTTGTCATAGGATTAGTACGGATAGGAATGCAAATTTTTCGTGTCGAAGGGGATTTAAAAAACACCAAAACTAATAAATTTAGATTTCATAAATTTGAATTTTAGTAAATTTTTGGGATCAGTTCATGAGAGATTTATCATTTATGAATAAGAATGGTAGTGGATTGAAGTGGGGGGTGGGGGTGTAGTCTCTATTCTTGTACCCGCTTAAAAAAATTTCGTTCATCCCTGGTTCATCCTTGTTAACGAGTATAATTTGCATCCTCATATTCATTCGCGAGTAAATTTGTAATTTTTGCCCCCGTCCCGTCCAAGCCCAACATAATCCAACATTGTAAATAATCCAAAAAAAAAAAAATTACATGTCACCAACTGAAAATTTTCACATAATTCTTTTCATCAATAAAGACTAGCATTTGATATACTGAGTAGGCAAGAAGTTTATCTAATACTTTTCAAGTAAAAAGACTATCCAACAATTTTCAAAGAAAAAAAATCATATTCAAGTAAAATAAACTCAAAAATAAGCAAAAATCATATATAATACTATAATCAAAATTTAACAAAAATATTTAATTAAATTAAACCAATATACTAATTAAGGTAATTTATCTCCAAAAATCTTTAATTATAGTTAATTTCATTCATTAATTTAAATTTTGTCCTCAAATTCAATTCTAATTTATACACAATTAACACCATTAACACCACCACCATGCACCACCAATTGTCGCCTCTACCACAAGTGAAATCCACCACACAAACCCACCCAATTTGCCCCCAAAACCACAACACAAACCCACCAAACAATCAATCTCCACCACCACAACCCACCTTCCAGTGAAATTCACCAAGCACCGCAAGTCCACAACCTAGAAACAAACCTCTCCTCTCCCCCCCCCCACTACTTGAGATTCTTTGTCTCTGTGTGTGTGGTTGATGGACAGTATGGCGCTCCCTTCGAGAGTAAAGAACTCAAATTTGAAAATCGAAAAAACTTAGCTCTCAAAAATTTGAAAACACTCTCTACTCCATTTTGACTATGAAGAACTCAGATTTGGAATATTGAAAGAAATCTCTCTCTCTCTACGATGCTTATGGCTAAAAGTAGTGGGTGGCTGAGACAAGTTTTCGATTTTAACGTGTTTGGTTGTGCCTTGAGTAGGTGGGTTGAGGTTTTGAGTTTTTTGGGTTTTGGCGATGATGGCTTTGTTGTGGTGTTGGTGGTTGTGGATGGCGAACACTGGTGGGAAGTAGGGTTGGTGGTTATGGGTGGTGGACGTTGGTTGTAAGTGGTGTTGGGGTGACGTTTTGGATGAGGGTGGCCACTAGATGGTGCTACAGTGGTGGGGAGCTACTAGCAATTTTTGTTGCCAGGTAAGGGTTTCCCTCTCTCTACCTGTGTGTATGTATATATATATACACACACGNATTTGTAGTCTTTAACTCTTTATTGTATTTTGGCATCACAGAAAAGACCTGATAACCCATTTTGCTATTTCAGGAAAAGCTGGGGCATCACCCTGTCATTTACCCTGGGAAGTGCGGCTCAGGATAGCAAAAGGCGTAGCCAGGGGGCTAACCTACATCCATGACAAGAAGCATGTTCATGGAAATTTAAAGCCCAGTAACATCTTATTGGGGCCCGATATGGAGCCCAAAATAGGAGATTTTGGCCTCGAGAGGCTCGTAACGGGTGAGATCAGTTCCAAAGCCGGAGGATCGGCTCGAAATTTTGGTAGCAAGAGGTCGACAGGGTCACGTGACAGTTTCCAAGATGCAGTGTCTGGGGGGCCCACCCCGAGCCCGAGCCCAAGCTCATTCGGGGTGTCGCCTTATCACGCACCCGAATCTCTTAGGAGTCTCAAGCCCAACCCAAAGTGGGATGTGTACTCATTCGGTGTGGTGTTGCTCGAATTGCTGACCGGAAAGGTCATTGTTTCAGATGAATTGGCCCTCGGGATTGCCACGTTAGAGGTCGAAGAAGAGAAAAGTCGGGTTTTGAAGATGGCTGACGTGGCAATTCGTGCTGACATGGAGGGGAAAGAGGAGGCCATGTTGGCACTCTTGAGATTAGGATTTAGTTGTATATCTCCTGTCCCACAGAAGAGACCATCTATGAAAGAGGTCCTTCAAGCTCTTGAGAAGTTCCCCTCTTGTTCTTCTTCCTCATCATACTATTATGGTCACTAGTGATGATAAATGGACCCATTTGTATTTATGATTGACTGACAGGTTGTTGAAGAACTGAGATACCTGTGATTGTGTTCAATGGTTGTAGGGGTTGTGCTGTTGTTGTCATAGATATTGATTAGATTTTGTTGCCTGACAGCTAGCTAATTTTAGATTTATTATATGTTTTCTTGTTTTGGTTTAATATGATTGATCATGGTCTGTAATGTTTTTCTATGCGATAGTCTGATTTTGACAGTTAAATTCACCGATAGATATGAAAAGGAAATTCAATTAGAACTAAGATTATAATACGTATGATGATCTACAAAGAATATCTATCACGTAAATTCATATATTATTATAATAATCAAACCTACTATCTCTAGATAACATGCTCTAAAAACTCTTCTGAAATGTCTCAAAGTTTTAAAAATCAACCTATCAAACTCGGTATTAATCAAAATTTATTAACTTGAAAACTTATCTTAGAGAAACTTCATCAAACAGAACGTAATGAAATCAGGACTTTTGGGTAATCTGATATGGTGATTAGGAATAAATATTGAATGCAACGGTGATATCATCACCATTGATGACATGATATCACCTACCAACAATAAAACCTCAAATGAAAAAGGTGAACCTCACTTAGACTTACATGACAAGAGGGTGAAAAGTTATTTATTTATATGACAAGTTAGTTATTGATTTATGTAGATTTTATGTGTTTATTTGTTTTAGTATTATTAATTAATGATATTACATCATTTTATCACGTGGCATCATAATTGTAATGAATATTTTCTCGATGATCAGAGATATCATGTGTTGGCAATGTGAATGGCCAAGAATTTTTTACAATTAATCATACATCTTGCAAAAAATGATTAGGCAGTTTGAGGTTCATAACTTCATTCGATTTGACAATATAACTTCTATAGTTATTTACCGAGGCAAGAGAGACGGGGGTACAAGCCAAAATGTCGTTTTGTGTCGACAACACACTTTGTAGTGTCAAATCAGAAATCATGTTATTGTTGAGTAATAAAATAACACGTGATCAGCTGAATCCCGCGTAATTAAATAATTATCCATTTTTGTTATGCAGTTATTACTTGTCCACATATTATTTTATTATTTAATAATTACACCATATCAACATGAAGACATAATGTAGTCGTTATATCCTAATATTGTTTCAATCTGAAAAAAAATAGAGTAATATTACACAACCTAAATAAAATCAAAAAAATTACAACTCTAATACATATCATCCCTCGAATAATATGCATTTGAATTACAGTTTTTAGATTTTATTTGGATTGTATAGCATTTTTTTTAAAAAAAAATATTGGGTATAATAATGCTATTACGTCATTATTGAAACGTAGTGTCATCATTCAATAAAAATAGAATAATGTTATTTAAACCTAAAAATTTGACTTAATTTACTGACGTAATGATATAATTTCACAAGAATCATTGGATCAACACCAAATTTCAATGTTTGATGGAGCCTACAGTCAATGCAAAAGTCACAGTAAATTAGGTTAGCAAATTATGTCAATAAATTAAGTTCCAATCGCATTGCTTGCAAAAATAAATCAAATTATTGGTGAATCTCACATATTATAAATCAACATATCATGTCATTTAATAACCACTCAAGTGAAGTTCACCTATTGTTCAAAAAAGAAATGGGGTTTACCTTATCCACATGTGGTGTCATCGTTACACCTAATATTTACTCGTCAAACCTTAACCCAAATTTAAGTCAATATTTTGAATAAAAAACTTGATTTGAAACAAAAGACTCTAATGAACAAACTCAAATTTAAAGAAGGAGAAATTCAAATTTAAAAGAAAGTAAAATACGACTATTAAATCTTTAAAAAAAAATAAAATTTGACAATTCCTGATTTGAATAAATATTTGAGTCTTTCTGAATTTAAGTAAAATTTTGAATCTTCCTTGATTTTATGTGAATTTGAGTACAAGATTATAGAATATTTTTAAATATTTTTTTTACTCAAATTTAAATTTGATTTTAATAAAAGGTAAGAATTGAAAATGTCCCAAGAGATTCGAAGCAATACTAACTACAAAGTTTGAAATTCTAAACTAAATAAAATAGTTACAAAAAGAATGTGATCTTTTATTAATTTAAGAAACATATGACCCTTGTTAGAAAGGAAGAATAAAACATGGTTCATCATCTTCCCCAAATAGTATTGAACCTCTAAATGGGTGGGTTGGGTTGGTTATGGGTTGGGTTAAATTGGATTGAACTAAAATAAATTCAATTCATTTTTGACTTATGTAGTAAATGTGTTATAATGGATTGAGTTTATAACGGGTTGAGTTAAATCGATTAACCTATAAAATAATTAAAATTCTTAATAAACACATTAGTACATCAAAACACACACACACACACACACATTAGTAGCATACCAAAATACAAACATACACAGACATACTAATACACCAAAACACACACAAACTAACACCAAAAATGCAGATACATATACTAACACAAAAACTAAAATACATTTAATAAAAATAAATAAACAAATAATGGGTCGGAGTGATTGTGGGTTATGGGTCAACCCATAGGGGTCGTGGGTGGACATGTGGGTCATGGGTGGTGTTTGTGGATATTATCATTGGAAACCTTCACGAGATTATACTCGTCCACTAGGGGGAACCTAAGGGTTTAAAGGCTTATTGCATATGCTAAATACAATTGTAAGTCCTACGAAAGTGAATTTGTGTTTTATTTTATCAGGTTATTTTGTTTTTAGTTTNTTGTGAGTCCTACGAAAGTGAATTTGTGTTTTATTTTATCAGGTTATTTTGTTTTTAGTTTTTAGATTTTAGGATCCATGTATTATTAGGGACTAGTAATATTCAGGTTGAGGGGTGTGATTAACTATCAAAATTGTTATTTTATTATATTTAATAATTTATTAATTATATATTATTTGTGATTAAATGTGTTAAATTCCTTGATTTTTTAGTTTGATATTTTTTCTAGTTGTTTGGTTTATTTTGCAGGTAAATTGGTTGATTTAAAATAATAATTAATAATGCAAGTGAAGCAATCACTAGAGGAAGAATTATAACTGATAAGGATTGAAGAGTCAAGATTGAGATTGGAAGACTTAAAGATATGCCAGTAATTTAATTCTTATAAGAGTCCAAGTTGGAAAAAAACTCATTTAGAGTTGGATTAGGAAATTGTCCAAGAAGAAAAGGATTTGACATGTCTTCAGTATTTTGGTCATACCTTTTGAANGAAAGACTTAAAGATATGACAGTAATTTAATTCTTATAAGAGTCTAAGTTGGAAAAAAACTCATTTAGAGTTGGATTAGGAAAGTGTCCAAGAAGAAAAGGATTTGACATGTCTTCAGTATTTTGGTCATACCTTTTGAATTTGATATCCGATTTACTTGATTTTGGGGGGTTAAAAAGAAGACTTCAAAGGCTAAAAAAGTGTATTTCACAAAATTTTTGTGATTCAACCTCTAAATATGTGAAATTTAAGCTTGAAATTTAGACAAATTTTGTACCCGCATCCCAAAGATTTTATGCACGAGATTTAACCTTACAAGACTTATTTTTTGGAAAAAAATTACTTTTAACATGTACTTAAGATTTATTATTAATATAAATAGGGGTTCTCATTTAGAGATTATTCTATTCTTTTTCCTATCTTTTTATTTTTGTTTTAGTTCGTTATGTCTGGCTAGAAGGCTAAGTTAGGGCTNAAATTACTTTTAACCTGTACTTAAGATTTATTATTAATATAAATAGGGGTTCTCATTTAGAGATTATTCTATTCTTTTTCCCATCTTTTTATTTTTGTTTTAGTTCGTTATGTCTGGCTAGAAGGCTAAGTTAGGGCTAGGGAAAAACCTCTCAACGAAGTACGGTACTCTTATTGAGTCTGTGCTTAATGATTTATGATATTTTGTTAATTTAACTTCTGATTTCTTAACAAAGTTTTTACTCTGTAAAAATCCTTGAGTCGTTATGTCATGTACAGCGATTGTTTGAATTTTTCTGCGAGTAAATAACTGGTTATTCCACGCTTGAGGTATTTATCATTATTTCATAAAATAATATAATTGGATGATTATTCAGGTTCCTGAATAATCTTTTGATTATAACTTTTGATTTTCTTACTTGATTTGTTACTCGAATCAACTAACATCTGATTCGTGTCTCGAGTTAAGATTTGAGTCTTTAATCATTATTACATGAAATTAAAAGAGAGTACCTAATGCTCTAGTATTTTTATTATATTGTTTAAATATCTCCAATTAATATTTTCAACTCAACAATTTTTTTACACAAATTGTTCTCTCAAAATTTCTTTGGTATTTCTGTGATTGATTTTTGTTACAATTCCCTGTGGTTCGACCTCAGACTTTCGAGTATTATATTATTTCGCAACAACCTCCACTTGGGNAATTTTTTTGGTATTTCTGTGATTGATTTTTGTTACAATTCCCTATGGTTCGACCTCAGACTTTTGAGTATTATATTATTTCGCAACAACCTCCACTTGGATGATCAATTCTAAATTTGTAGCAAGTTTTTGGCGCTGTTGCCGGGGAGTCTAAGGACAAGGAGCCATCGCATCTTTGAGGTTTTTGATATTTGCGATTTTTCGAAGATCCGGTAACGTCGTTCTAAGTTTTATTTACTTTAGTCATTTTATTGCAATATATTTTATTTCTGTTTAATTTAGATTTATGTTTTATTTATTTAGTTTGTTTATTTGTTTTATGAGTTCCTAGCATCGGGACTTAAGTGATCGTTTAATAAGAGAATATTTAAATACTATGTCTGAAAATCTATTTGGTTCATCTGATTCAAATCACTCTTCCCCCACAATGGCTGCTAATCCTAACAATAATAGGTAAAATGATCTTCCCGAACATGAGGATCATATTGATAGAGTAAGTAATCATGATGAGAACGGTGTGGATAATTTAAATGCTAATCAGGGGAGGACTTTGCGTGAATATTTACAGCTTGCACGCCACACTGCACCCTCATGCATTATCTTTCCATTAAATGCCACAAATTTTATTTTCAAACCTGGCATGATTACATTACTCCCAAAATTTCTTGGCTTAGATTTAGAAAATCCGTATTTACACATTAGAGAATTTGAGGATGTATGCGCTACGTTCTATGAT